TTGGCAGTTGCCTTGGCCCCATTAATGGATTATAAACAAGAAGATTTAATAAAAGAGATGGTTGTGGCTTATAGGACTTATCTGGACTTTATAAAAAAAACAAACTCCCAGGGGAAACTTATCTAAAATTCACGAAACGATCTACCAGAGATCTGGTGCTAAAGTCAACAATGGGAAAATCCTTAAAAATCAAGAATGAAGATGTAAAAATTTTGAAAGACATCCCTTTCGAAGTTAGAAAACGGAGGAAACTCTACAGGATGCTTATTCTCACTCTGCAAAAGAAGGGAATACCATACAGATGGCTATTCCTGGAAGGGCTGAGCTTCAATTTCCAGGACAAAAAATATAAAATTGACTCTGTTCCAAAAGCAGAAAAATTTATGGATCAAATGTTCAATACAAAAAAGAAGCAGAAGGAAAAGAATTTAAAACCGGATGGGGAGGAAGAAGAAGAAGAATCCTACTCACAGGATTCAACAAGCCAAAATTCCACGTCATCAGAATAATCTGAATCGGAGAAAGGAGAGGCTGCCCCCAAACTCCAGAAAATGAAGAAACGCAAGAAGAAAAGACTCTAGAGCTAAGACAATACCATTAAAGGCAGTAATTGTGTTAAGCTATTAAATGTGTACTATCATAATTGAACCAAATCTTGATATAACGTGTAATATTAGGTTAAAAAGCATTATTTTTTCAACTATTCAGATTGTGACATGTATTAGACTTCTCCCTTCCCACAAATCCAGTAGATGAAATAGATTAGAATGGTAGTATTCCTTTCCCTATCAAGTAGATATATGTATTAGATTTCCTTTACCCATCACCCATAGTAATAGTGTTAGGGTATTAGTAGCCCTTTCCCCATCCCATAATTGTAGTGTGTAGAAAATGCAAATTTCCCCCCCAATTTTACAGTTCAAGAATGAAGACTGAGGACTAAGGTCACCCAAGGTCACCAAGTCAACATGCAAGCAGGAATTTGAACTTAGACCTTTAAGGCATAAGCCACCCGCTGTGATCCATTATTCATCATTGTCTCTAAATAAATTACTGTTAGCAAAACAAATCTTTTCCAAACTAAAACTAATTCAGTGGGAGCTTAAGAAATGAGAACACACAGTACACGTAAGGAAAACATGTGGACTGCCAAGCCAAAAATGGCAACTTCCTAGAAGAACTTTCCATTTCTGTTTATTATATTGCCGCTTACTTATTCAGAAATGATATTCATTTTAAGAAGCCATTATTATTTATACCCACAGGATGTCTCCTAGCGATGCATTTTAATGAAATATCTGAGCAACAGCTACTAGGGGTGGGGGGAATGCTGATTTGTAACAGCCAGAAAACACTAAAGGGACAACAGAAAGGGTGACTTAAAAATTTCTTGTTCAAAAACTACTTATATTTGACATTTATTTATTACTGGCAACATGCCAGGCAGTGTATAAAACCAATGGGAGAAAAACAACTGCTGTGGCTACCAGCTGCAAATTACAATTCTAAGTACTTTAAGCCTGCAGTTATTTTGCACCCTGGTTATATAAAGGAATTCCTTCTCCCTCATGCCTCTCCATAAGATTTTCTGTTGTGCTTTCATTGTATAAATTGCACCAAAACAGGCCCAAACACAGGGACTTCTCAGCTGTGGCCCCCCATTTGTGGAATTCCATGTCCTAAGAGGCCTTCCTGGACAATCCTTAGGACTTTGTTTCTTGGACCAAGTTTTCTATTGCTAGAATTTTTGTTTGACTGGCTGAGATAAAATTGTTGAGTAGGCCCTTGCTGCAATGGGATTTTATGGTAGGATTTTTCGGGGGGGTTTAAGGGTTGCTTTTATTGCTTTCATGAGAACAGAATTGCAAGCCACATTGGGAGTCTTTGGCAGGAGATATGAGATACAAATGTAAGGGGTTAAGGTCCCTCCCCTTTCAGTTCCCTTATGTTCGGGAGGGGGGACAGGGTTGAGCAGCTCTCTTGAAAAAGGAACGTTTTACACAAAAGATGAAAGAAAACCCAAGTGCAACCGAGTCGCTACTTATTTATGTGCTTTGTCTCTAGTCATTACTACTGGGTGGGTTATAAATTGTTTTTAAAGGACCAATGAATAGATTACAGAAGTTGTCTATAAGAAAGGAGAGGGAAAAACTCTCATAAAAAGGAGAGGATAACACGTACAATACAGAGCTTCAGTTACCAGGGTGTTATTCTGTTTGGGATTGCACCAGTAGTTGTTGAATCTAATTCACAGTTGATTATTTGCAAACTGTGTTTCTACGTGGTTTGGGGAAAATGGCATCAGAATTCTGTTGTCTGCATTTTCACAACTGTGTGAAAGAGAATGACACATAACATATACAGGCTGCGGTCACACGGAGCAGTAGCCACGCTACTGCGACGGAAGATAGGCGGATTTTCCGGGCGCGATCTCACCGCCACATCTGGGAAGCATAGAGCTCCCGTGGCTCACCCAAGGCTTCCCGCCAAAGATGCGCGGTTAAAAACTAGTACCTCGGAGGTACTAGTTTCCGGAAACCGCGGGGCAAGGGCGGGCGTCTGATCGCGTTTCCGGTGGCATCCGGCGCCCGCCCATGCCCCATTGCGAAAAGGGTTTTTTTTCTCGAAGTCTCCAGGGATGCGCACAAGCACCCAACAGGGCATGCACATACTTCAGGTTAAAAAAACAACAACACACAACCCCGTTTGCCGTGCCGCTTCTTTGGCGCGTCATGTGATCGGCATCTCACCCCTAACCACGGGACCTTGACGGGACCGCGACGCTGGCCAGATGTGTCCATGTGATCACGCCCGTTAAATCCACCCGGCATTCGTCCCTCTCGCGCTGCTAATTGTGCGTGTGATCGGAGCCCTAGGCTACTATTCTTGCTGGGGATAGAAAATATTCTTAAACAAGGAATTATGGATTATGTGGAAGGGGGAAACAGAAATGTTCTCCTTTTTCATCATACCAGAGCTCAGGGTCACCACATGAAATAGACTGGCAGCAAGTTCAGGGAATTACTTCTTCACACAGTGCACAATTAGTTCACAGGATTCACTGCCAAAAGGCATGGGGCTTTTCTGCATTCTCATTTTCCTTGCTTGTAAGGTCCCATTTCTTCGGGGGAGGGGGAGGTCTGTTCTGCATGTGTTTTGCTCCCTCTAGTGTTTGATTCAATATAACACCGGCTTCTTTCCCACATAAAAACCTGTAGTTTATATCTGCAAGGAGATATCCTGGGCATAATCTGGTGTAATATCGAATCGACCACTAGAGGGAGAAAAACATGTGCAGAACAGGAAACTCCCCCCCCCCCCAAGAAATAGGAATTTACAAGTGAGGAAAATGAGAATGTGGAAAAGCCCATGGTAAAGACCACTTTCCTGCATGGCTTCCGGGTCAATTCTGAAAGGTAGGTTTCTTGCACATGGGTCTCTGGGCACTACTGTGAAGTGCACAGCATAATCCACCTATCCTAGATCCATTGAGAAGAAACTTCTATGAAGTGAAGAACAACTATGAAACAGTCTCATTCTAATGGTTAACCTTCAAACTGGCAAATTGTCTATCTATGTATTTCCTTCTCCCAGCATCCCCGGAGAAAGAGAAAGAGTGACAGGCCTAAATTTCCCAATGGATTTCATGACTGAGGGGGATCTAAATCCAACTCCCCCCAATCCTAGTCCAACGCTCAAACTAGGATTGTCTCTTCTGGCCAGATGGGTCAGACACAAAGAAAACAAAAACAAGTATTTGTGAAGACCACAACTTACAATTCTTGTTGAGATTCTCCAGTCAATTATCTAAACTTCTCCTACTTTCTTCCCTTTTTTCAGTTCTTGAGATGCAACTGTTATCTTGCTATTTCTATATCTGGCAACTACATCCCAGATACTTTCCCTGAATTTCAACAATGCTTGTGCAAAGTGAGTTGTGTTCCTGCATCTGATCATTTATTCCCATGGTACAGTAGCAAATATCATGGCATATCCCTAGACAAAAAGCTAAGTGCCTTTATTTATTTCCTTCCACACTAGTGGGCTTTGATTTCAATTAGATCACTCCACAAACCTGTATTCTCTCAGGTGCTAAATTACGTACACTAAAGAAAAACAATACCAGATGGCACCTGTGGAACACTGCGTAACAGGCTGGAAACCTTGACCATGCAAAGTCTTTCATCAGCACTTGGAAATCCTTGCAGCTTAATTTTCATCTATGTATTTAAACAATAATATACAAAGACAACAAAACACTCTGTGTACATTTTTAAGACTGAGTTAGTTGTACAGGCAGATTTAGCCAGGAAATCTAGGGATATAAAGCTGTGCTGTATCATGGTCTGATCCTTGTGATTTTGGAGAAATTCAAATTTCCGCGTTTCTCTGTTAATGGGTAAAGGTTAAGAAGAGAAAGTGGAGCTGGGTGCAAATGCCCACAATTTTACACAAGAAGATGCATAGTTTTACTGTATATTTAACTTCCCACCCCAACCCTTAAGTTGCCCCACAGTTTTTGGTTAGATAAAATCTTCATGGTGCAGCCCACAAGGAAAACAATCTGACAAATGGCTCTGAGAAACATTTGGTAGCTGAAACAAACTAGGCAAAATTGAATAAGTATGCAAGAGTTACCCAATTAGCACCAAATATTCCAGCATTTGAAGATTCAGCAGACGATTCTAGACACAGACTTTACTGTTTCATTTCAACAAGACCATGAGAAGAGAGACAACATATCCCTAAAACTATTAATGCCAACAACAACATACTAGGTAGTTATAGCTTGGTAAGCTGTACCAGGGAGGAGCTAGAAGGATGGAACAGAGGAGTTTTTCTCCAAGCGAGTGAAGAACTCTTATGTGCAGCTGTATATTAAAGACAAACATTACAAAACACCGAAGTTCATATTCCAGGTCCAGGGAACTTGGGATATGTTTTGTCTATCCCCACAGTGTGGACCTGCCTGGGAAGCAATGGAAGACTGTAGTGGATGACTCTCTAAATTTCCAGTTTGTTTTAGATGGTTAATACAATCTACCTCATTGCACTATCTCCCCCTTTTTCTGGGTCCCTGAAAAGGGTTGCCAACTGGCCAAATTTCCAATGGCATGATCAGTCCCCCTTTTCAAGCTGAATGACATTTTTCTTATGTTGGAGGGAATATCAGAGAGAGAGAGAGAGAGAGAGAGACAGACAGACAGACAGACAGACAGACAGACTGGTTTTTAAACTGCTGGTACCTTTTTTGGTATTTATTGATAGGTTTATTAACGTATTAAGAACATTTGTAACAATAATACATGCTGTATTCCAATCCTTGGAGTTGGTATTAAACATTATTTTCATGCCATTTATAAACTCTGGACCATCTTTTTTGGAAAATCTTATCATCTTTTCTTTGAAGTATAATATTAAGCTTGTCCATTTCCGCAATTTCATATAGTTTTCCTACCAAATCATCTCTAGAGGGTAATTTCTCAGATTTCAAACATTTAGCTACAAGAATTCTAGCTGCAGTAAGTATATATGTCAACAAGTATACATTATAGTGCCCATAACAATCTGGTATAATGTTCAAAAGATATATTTCTGGTAACAGTTGTAAATTTATATCCATTATCTCTATTAGCTGTTTGATACATTGCCAAAATTTATAGATCTTCTCACACCTCCACCACATATGAAAAAATGTACCTATATTGATTTTGCATCTCCAACAGTTTTTCGAAGCATCTTTATCACATTTGGCTACTCTATCTGGTGACCAGTGCCACCTATAAAACATTTTAAGGAGGTTTTCTTTGAAGGAGGTTGATCTTAATAATTTTACAGCTTTCCATATCTTTGACAACTCATCCAGGTTATAACCTATGTCTTGCATCCAAACTATCATTGGTGTTTTTACTGTTTCATCTTGCATAAAGTCATGAAGTAGAAAGTTATACATTTTTGTATCAGTTTATCAGACGTTGATAAGCATATTTTGTCTAAATCAGTTTTTGCATTATAGAAGCTTATTGCTTTAACATACCACGTGAGATTAATGCTATTTGTTCATAATACCTCAATTGTTTTTAGTTCATTATTCTCATCTAGTAAGGTTTCATAGGGTTCTCTTTTCTTTTCTGACATCAGTGTGGGCTTTGTAGATGCCTCTAGTGGTGAGACCCACTTCAGAATTTTATCATAAAATCTTTCTTTTATTTTTCTCCAAAGATTTATTAATGCCCCTCTGATTTAATGGTTACGAAGGTTTGAGTGTATTAGATCCTTGTCATACCAGATATAGGTGTGCCAGCCCATATATAGGTCATGACCCTCCAGTTGTAACATTCTCATATCCTTTTTTTAGTTTCCATGATAATACTTTTAGTGACCTGGGACTCTTGAACCAGTATTTTTGTTTTATGAATAAAAGATTTTTCTTAATCTGTGTTGTTTTTAAAGAGTCTAGTTTTTTACGTTCTTGTAATAACTGTTTATAATTTTTTTTAAGCCAAATAATTTATGTTTTGTTTCTTATTCTTTAATTTTGTCCAAAAGAGTATGTTTTAATATGTTTCTCTTTTTGTTGTAGGCTGAAGTGACTGCTATGGCTTTGCCTGTGCTTTCAAGGCATCCCACGTGATTTCTTTAGAAACTCCACAATCTAAATTGAAATGAAAAAAAGTTTTAATTTCTTCTTCTATTTCTGCATTTGCTATGGGATTTAATAAAATGAATTTGTTCAAAGACCATTGTCTAGTAAAATTCTCTGTATTTTTATCTGAAATAAAACATTCTACCTATGCATGATCAGATATAGTTCTTAATCCTATATCAGGATTAGCTGCTTTGTTTATTAAAGAGTTGGATATTAAAATATAATCTATCCTTGAGAATGACCCATGACGACTAGAAAAAAGGGTGTAGTCCCGGACTCCATTATTAAATGTTCTCCAAACATCACATAAACTATATCTAGAAAGTAATTCCAAAAGTTCTGATGTTTTTTCCTTATTATTAGCTCTAAAATTATGAACTTCTTTGTTTCCAGACCTGTCTATATTAGGGTTCATTACACAATTTAGATCTCCTCCCAATCAATGTTCCCTCTAAGCTCTGGAGTCTTGTGAGCAAAAATTCTCCTTTCTGAGCGACTAGCATGAAAGTTGTGAGCGAGGGATCTGGCTACTGCATCAATTAGTTTGCTCTGGAGCCATCCTTCCTGAGCAAAGACAAAAATCCGTGAGCCGGAGGCTTAAAAACTATGAGCTAGCTCACACTAACTCAGCTTAGAGGGAACACTGCTCCCAATATAATTGGACCCTCTTGAAATTGATCTAACATAGGCAAAGTATTTTGGAGAAAAGTAATTTGTCCTTCATTAGGGGCGTATATAGAAGCTAACGTATACAGAATATCATTTATAAAACCTTAAAAAAAATAAATCTACCAGTGGGGTCTTTTTCCTGTGCTTTGCATACAAATCTTACTTGCTTAGATAATAAAATTGCCACCCCCCCTTGATTTTGATGAACCTATTGCTTAATATTGTTGAGAAAACCAACGTGATTTAAAAACAGGTAAGTCTTTGTTTTTTAAATGAGTTTCTTGAAGCATTAATATATCAGGTTTCATTTTAACTAACTCTGATAATACTCTTTTGTTCTTGATTCTGCTATTCAAGCCTCTACAATTAGTAGAGACTATTTTCCATTTTGACATCATGTTTTACCAAATAAGTACTCAAGTCTCTATCAATGCTTGTAACAATAAAAAACTTTTCCAAAGAGTTAGATCTATATTTTTGAGTAACTCTTTAAAAAATGCTTCTGGTCTATAGAGGTCTTAAATGCCTCTTTTAGTGAAATAACTGTGACCCTAAGAATAGTAAACCACAAAATGAATACCATAACTTGACTTATAGGCAGTCTTAATGCTATTTTACTTAACACAACACATAAACATAACCAACATTGAAACCAATAGGCCTCACTCATGAGGCCAATCCACTTAATACCTTTGCTTATACAGATTAAAACTGTATATAACTATAACTATCTAAAATGCTAATTTGTTGTTGTTCAATCGCACAGTCGACTCCGACTCTTCGCGACCCCATGGACAAGATCACGCCAGGCCCTCCTGTCTTCCGCCGTCCTCTGAAGTTGGCTCAACTTCATGTTCATTGCATCTATGACACTGTCTAACCATCTCATCCTTTGCCGTCCCCGTCTTCTTTGACCTTCAATCTTTCCCAGCATCAGGGTCTTCTCCAGTGAGTGCTCCTTTCTCATTTGGTGGCCAAAGTATTTGAGCTTCAGTTTCATTATCTGGCCTTCCAGGGAACAGTCAGGGTTGGTTTCTTTTAGGATTGACTGATTTGATCTTCTTGCAGTCCAAGGGACTCTTCTCAAGAGTCTTCTCCAGCACCATAGTTCAAAAGAATCTATTCTTCGGAGCTCGACCTTCCTTATAGTCCAACTCTCGCAGCCATACATGACTACTGGGAATACCATTGCTTTGACCATGTGGACTTTTGTTGGCAGGGTGATGTCTCTACTTTTTATCATGCTGTTGAGGTTCGCCATCGCTTTCCTCCCAAGGAGCAGGCGTCTTTTAATTTCATGGCTGCTGTCACAGACTGCGGTGATCTGGGATCCCAGGAACGTGAAGTCTGTCACTATTTCCACGACTTCCTAATAGAAGGAAGCAAAAAAGAAGGTTCTACCTAGCCCAGCTCTATGTTGGAATAACAATTTGTAGTAATATGACTACCCTTGTTTAACGTTTTTTCATAAAGAATAAAACACTTTTTCTTTCCTGTTCTTATTTAAGTTACCCTTAAGCAGCCTATTGTAATTATTTTGTTCAACACCTTTAATACTCAAAAATTAAAAAAAACATTTGTAAAGATTGATCCGATGTAGGTGAAACTGGTCTGGAAAAGTCTATTTGCAAAGAGGATAGAAGGTCATAACCTGATGTTAAATCTTTAGCTTGCAAGCGTTGGCCATGATGAATTATTGGCAGGGTACTGGGAGGAGTCCATCTGTATCTTATTTTGTTATGGTTAAGTTTCTCTGTGAGAGGTTTGAGTTCTTTCCTTTTCTGAAGCGTTTCCGTTGATAGATCCAATAATACTAGAATTTTTTCCCCTTGATGTTGGAGTCCTAGGTCCGTTCTGGATGACTTTAGTATAATTTCTTTTGCTTGCAGGTCTGAAAAAGTTAATAAAATGTCTCTAGGGAATTTTTCGTTGCGGCTTGATTTAGGGCCTAGCCTGTATGCCTTTTCTATCTGGATTACAGCCATTTCTTCCTCTTTTAACTGTGAAGCCAGCCAGGTGGTTATAAAGGATTTTAAATCAGACTCACCAACTTGATTTTCAACAATGCCTCTTAGTTTCAGGTTTTGTTCTTTGAGTCTGTTTTTCATCAACATTATTTTTTCTCTGGCCCATTCTTCCAATGCCTGGAGACTCCTGGTGTCGTAATTTATGGCCTCTGATTGTTCTAAAGCCATATTTGCCGTTTTAGCAACCTCAGCCATGTTTTCTTTCAAGATTGTCAGTTGTTCAGAGATTGGAGCCAAAGTTGTTTGAAATGTATTGCCAATGCTCTCTTCAAGGGCCGAAATGGTTTCTAAAAATTCTTGCCTGTAAAGCAAGGTTTCAGTCCCATGCTTCGGCATCATTGCGTCTGCCATGATGGATGAGTCCTTGCCGTCTGCTTTTTTATTACTGGCTGTAAAGTGTTTGGTAATAGGCAGTGAAGGATTTATTTGAGTCTTCCCTTTTCTCTGGCAAGTTCTGCCCATGTCCTGGAGGAAAAAGTGCTTCGTAGTATCGGGTAGCCTTGTTTATTGCGAGCTGGAGTTGGGAGCCAATCCTTTAGGCGTCCGCCATTAACTTCGCGACACCCTGCCCCCACATTCTCATATCCTCTAACAATATCCAGTCTCTAATCCATCCCAACGCTGAAGCTTGATAATATAAGGACCAGTTCGGTAAACCAAAACCACCTCTCTCCTTTTTATCTTGAAGTAACTTCCATTTAATGCGTGCTTTTTTTGGGTACCATAAAAAATTTCTTATTATCTTATCTAGTTCCAAAAATATTTATTATTTTTTAATATTGGTATATTCTGTGCAAGAAATAGAAAACAGGGTAGAATGTTCATTTTTATCGCAGAAATTCTGCCCATTAGCGATAGTTGCAGGTCTTGCCATTTAAGTAGATCTTTTTTGAAATCTTCTAATAATTTTGTATAATTATTTTCAAGCAACATGCTGTTTCTATTTGTCAAAATTATACCTAAATATTTGATTTTATGTATCACTTCTATTTTAGTCTGTACTTGAATCTTACTTCTTGTTTCCTGAGTGCATTTTTTTGTCAATATCTTGGTCTTTTTGAAGTTTACTTTAAATCCAGCTACTAATCCATAATCTTGTATTACGTTTAACAATTGTGAAATGGATATTAATGGTTCTTCCTTTATAAATACTAGGTCATTGGCTTGCAATTTGAACTCCTCACTTCTTATTTTAAGCCATCTTATCTCCACATTCTCTCTTACTATATCATTTAATGTTTGCAATACAAAAATAAATAACAGCGGTGATAGAGGGCAACCTTGTCTTGTGCCTTTCTAAATGGCAATATTTTGTGTTAAATCTCCATTGACTATTATCTTTGCAAATTGTTCCTTGTAAATAGCCAAAATCCATTACCATAAAGTTGTTACCACATTCCCATATCTCCAGTTTCTGTCTTAGGAATTCCCAAACTATATTATCGAAGGCCTTCTCCGCATCTAGAAAAAGTAATGCCAACTGTCTTTCTGGATGTAATTCATCATATTCTAAAGTATTAAGGATAATCCTTATATAATTTTTGATCTGCCTCTTCGGGAGAAAGCCAGCTTGATCTTGGTGAATGACTTGAATTAGACATTCCTTCTTTAGACGAGTGGCTATAATCATTGCAAAAATCTTATAGTCCACGTTTAATAGCGAGATAGGTCTATAGTTTTGAATTTCCTTTTCTTATGTATTAGTTTTATGTATTAAGGTGATCAACGCTTCATTCCATGAAGTTGGCAAGGTTTCTGTTTTTATAATATTCTGGAGTACTTCTTTAAATGGTAGCAAGATTTCTTCTTCAATTTTATGGTATACTTCTGCCATCAGGTCTGGAAATTTCTTTTTCTTTTTCTTTTTGAGTGCTTCTATAATTTCGCATGGTGAGATTGGATCATTTAGGAGTTTTTTCAGGTCTTCACTAAATTTCTTATTGTTATACTTGGACAAATATTCTTTTATTTGCTTATGATCTAAAGGTGCTTGCTTATATAGGTTTTTATAAAAGTTTTCTACAATAACTTTCCATTCTTGTATGCTATATTTTATCTCTTGGTTTTCATCTTTTAAAGCCAAGATTGTCCGTTTCTCTTTGTCCTTTCTAAGCTTGTAGGCTAACCATCGAGTAGGTTTGTTAGCATTTTTGAAGTCATACATCTTAGTGTATTCTATCTTACTGGCTATTTCCTGCATTGAGAGAATATTTATTTGATGTTGAATACTTTTTATCTTTAATTTTATCTCATCTACTTCTGTGTTTTCATCATTTTATCTTCTTCAGTTTCTTCAATTTTTAGTTG